TATGATTTCGGTCTTCGCAATATAATGTTTCCTTTTCATATACCACAGTAGAACGCAAATTAGTTCTGTGTACTTAAGTTGAGGTTTTGGGATCCTGAGAGAAAAGAGTATTTCTGACATTTTCGTGCTACATGGTTAGATTTTGTCAGCTCTAAGCAGTTATAACCATTCTCTTTGCGGTCTTTCGCAGCCGATTCTTTAATGAATTGCAGGTAAGCTTCTAACTTAGTATTTAAATGTGTCTTTTCATCTCCTGGGCTTACATACATTAACTTAGATCTCAAAGCAGAAACTGAGTGTGCTACTTCTAGGTTAGTTCATTTTAAGGACCTCCTTCCAGCTCGATGACTCCTCATTCAAAGACCAGCGCTCCTTAGAACCACATTGCCACTATACTCCCGTCCACCCATCTCTCACGAAAGTTATCAAATGGCTTAAACATCTACCAAAAGGACAGAACTTAGAAATCTTTTCTGATGGCTCTAAAGTTTCAGAGCAAGTAGATGCAACCTATCCTATTTCTGTATCTATAACAATACAGAAATTCACTCAGCACAGTTCAGACTTAGCGACCACGCCTCAGTTTTCCAGGCTGAGTACTTCGCTTTACAAAAGGCAGCTCTCTGGGCAGGCAACACCAGTTTTACATCCATCAGCTTCTACACGGACAGCATGAGCGTTCTATAGGCACTGAACAAGAACGGCACACAAGCCTTCCACATCTCTTCATTAAAAGAAGTGCTTATTACCCTGTCTTCTTCCAGGCAAGTGTCTCTATGCTGGGTACGTATATCAAGGTACCCAAGGTAACGAAAGGACCGACTCTTTAGCTAAAGAGGCCACATGTCACCCCTTCATCGACTCAGAGATGCCACTTTCCATAGTCGCTGCCAAACACAAGATCTTTAGCGCCTTTTTGTTCATCTGGCAAGTTCGCTGGGACGACTCAGACACCGGTCGACATACCTGCACCATCTTTCCCGTGGTTTGCACCAAAAGGCTCAAAACAGATTTCTATCTACAACAAGCTTTCACATATCACGGAAGATTTCCCGTGTACCTCAGCAGGTTCTGCCATCAAAACGTAAAATGCGCCTGCGGTGCTTCAGCTTCTTCAGCAGACGTTTCACATTACACCCACAACTGTCCACTCACTTCTCCCAACAGAGCCTTTCTTCCTCAGCTCCAGGGATCACATAGTCTCAAAGATCTTCTTCAGGATTACTACGGACAGCGGGGCGTAAGAATAGAGTATGTATACAGCGGGCGTATAGAATAGAGTATGTCTATTCTAAGACAAACATAATCATAGCAGATAACCAGGTCTAGGCACCTGACGAAATGTAAAGGCAGCAAACCTCAACTCATGTATATATGTAAATATCTCTAAGCTAACTAACCCTTTTTGCTAATTTTATACTAACATTCCCAAAAATTGTAAGTTGGAGCACCCAACGAAAGTAATAACTATTGTTAAATCTGTTTATCTTTAATAAGTTTGAAAAGATTAACAACCAAAATAGGTTGCTGTAGTAACGATCAGAATAACATGACTGACCTGTAGTGCCCATTTAGGGGTGAAGCAAGCGGAATAATAATAAAATAAATATATTAACTTAGTATTATACTATAACAGTAGCGGCGCACAATAACGCGAACCTGGTTCCTACCGCCAGAAAAGGCAGCCTATGCTGTTCTGGGCAGTAGTGGTTTCGGCCATCCGAGTGGGCTAATCTGACGGCCATAGAAACAGAGTCTATACGTTGCCTCCCCCTGGTGGTCTCCGCGGACTCCAGGTTTGACTGCCGCCGGTGTTCCGCTTCTCTTAAAATGCCTGTGTTCCGGAATTGAGGCTCCCGCAAGTGAGTTCCTTAAATCCTTCTTTTAAAGATTTCCATGGGCATCGCTCGGCCTTCTCACCTTATATGGAGGTAGTTCAAGGGGTATCATCTTAGATGCATCGTGTTTCAGGAAAGGTTATTTATTTGATTGATTGATTAGAATTTATTGATTGTTCTTATTTTAATCTGCTTCCCACAAAGTGGGGTTGCTCTCGCAAAGTCGTACTTTTAAAGTTTTGATTAAATAAAAATATTGTTATTATAACTTTCTTAGACTTTAACATTTATCTCAGAAATAGCGATAACTTACTTCATATTTGTTAGGGTTATACGAATAAAGTAGCATTAACAGATCAAGTGTAACTCCGTCAGGGTTCATACACATTTCTGCACATGGAAATTAAGTACTTTTAAAGACCATTAATGAAAAAAATTAAGGACCTATGAGCAAATAGCAAATTAATAAATTCAATTAAAAATATTATCTATGCCTGAACTTTACTTTTGTAATACCATCCAAAAAATAAAATAGATCCCTAAGTAGGATGCATTATTATTAAACATAATTAACATAATTATTAGTAAGTTTGAGTATAAAATATACTTTATGAAATTTATCAACAGCTTAAATATTTTACACTTATAATAGTTCAGCATATTTGAAAGAAGATAAGTGACATATTATTTACGTTTTACTATAGTTATAGTTTCATATTGGATTTTTTTATGTCTCATTACTTGCTCAATCTAGAGGTTTAGTAAATAGCCAGGTAGATTTTATGTCAAGCGTCATAGGTTAAAATGAGAAGTAAAATCATAATAAGAATGATTTATAACAAAAGACTGGCTGTTGTCACCGCTGCTCCTTGCCGAAAGAGAGACCTGCAGACCAGAACAAAACTGAAAGGCCTGATGTGGGTACCGTTAACTAGTTTTTAAAGTTAGTTGGCTCTGTCTGTTGCAGTTAGGGTCGTAGCTCCGTGTAGAGTTCCAGGGGTTGTAACCCAGGGGGAAAAAAAAGCCAGGAATGGTGAAAAAAGAAAAGTAAAAGCCGAAATTCGATGAATCTTTAAAAAGCAAAAAGTTAGGTCAGCCAAGCTAGAATTTATGCTACAAACGACTGAGTGACAACAAACTAAGTTAGTGGAAATTCCAGGCGAACCAGAGGAATTTTTCGGTAGCACATCAATTAGAGAGGAAGCTTTTTTTGAATTTTGAGAGCCCAAGCTAAAATTTATATGAATAAGAGACCAGAAAAAGAAACGCAAACGACCAGTAGACGAGTCGAGGAATCAGAGGCCCTGGAGGAAAATCCGGGTTAATCACACCAAGTGCCTTTCCATCCTGGCACAAGTTTCTTTGGAAAAGGATGAATGAATTTAAAAGGAACAAAGATAAATGAAAAGTTAATTTATTTTCTTTAAATATTCAGTTGATTTTATGTCTCAATGCAATGTTATGCTATGTTGCTATGTTATTTTGAGTTTTGCCTCAAGCGAGACCACCCTAGTTTTGTTAAGCAAGAAGAATTTTCAGTTTAATTTTGCATTTTTTCTTGAAAGACTTTTATTTTTAATATAAATACATTGCTGTGATTTTAATCAAAGAGATTGTATCGCGAAAAATCTTGCCATAATTGCAGAATAAATATTAGCAGCTTCTATGTACTATGATGTAAAGTTAAAACTGAGTAAATTTTGAAATATACCACGTAAATGAATTTTAACGTTTCCCATTAAGAATGTTTGTGAAGGTTTTCGCAAAAGTTAACTGTTCTAATATTTTATATGGTTATTTAAAGTACAAGCTAGCAAATGATAATGATTTTGAAGAAAAGCTAGTGTAGTGAAGTATTTAAAAGTCTGGCTCTCCGTCTACAGGTATAGATTTAATACAAATTAAGCTTAGAAGAGTCTTGAAATAGGGGCTGTTGATGTCGAGTGTGTCTAAGCTATTAACAATGTAGGAGTTTGGTTAATAGGTAGTTTCTTGAAATTCTGCACACTTTCACATGCTCTTTTACGCATTACAACGCTGCATAGTAGGGATGAAAAATTGAGTTTAAAGGAAACAAAACAGACGAAACAGTTCTTCCAGATAAAATCCAATATTTTTCCCTTCATTCATGACTTGAGAATCTCCAGCCTGTCCTTACCCAAACTCTGACGATTGGGTGGTTGCCTAATAAAGGCCTGGAGTTCTAAACTCAGATGAGGATGAACTGCATTAAATTTTAAACCACACCAAATTAAATTTCTGTAAAATACGTGAAACAGTGCACGCATTTTACAGAAATTTAACTTTCGTTTGTTTATTCTCCTATCAATAAAATTCCGAGTTCTATACTCAAGGACCCTATTCCGGATATGAGTTACTGGGGAATTTACAGAATTCCTTGCCAGTGTGGTTTAATTTACATTGGTCAGACTAAGAGAGCCTTAAAATTTCGCGTTAAGGAACATGAGGCATATGTTAGAAAAAGGAAACATAGAAGTCTTCTGTTGCCCAGCATTGTTGGTCCGAAAATAATACTTTTCATTTTTTTGCAGCCAAAATTATTCAAAAAACATCTTCCTTTGATGAATTAGATTTTGTAGAGGTATTTCACATTAAAAAAACTCTTTTTGTTCTAGTTAACGACCCTTATTCCAATCCATCTTTGCGTTCACCCTTTAAGAAAATTATGTTTTAGTTCTCGTTGCATCAACAGATGGCGCCAGTATCTTAACTCTTGTCCAGCCATTCTTATCTTATCTAATCATCTCTTTCATTTGCGCTTTAGCAGCTGAGGATGATGGTTCGTAAAACCATCGAAACTAGTCCCGTGATAATTTGAAAATATAACGCTGATTCTTGTTGTTTCACTTCTAAATTAATATGGTTAGAATATTTGAATAGGGCAAAGAACACAAGAGCTATCTGCCAAAAATAGGAATGGCTTTGAGGGAAACTGGCTCATGTTCTTGTTACCCATAATTAAGATCACGGAAAACACGCATGCAGCCAAGCTCTTCGTCTGGATTCGAACTGCGCGTATTCTGCGGAGTTAGCCAATACACCGTTGATGGGAACATTTAGCAATATATGAAAATGAGAAACGGAGCAGTTGTAGCTCAAATTGTGAGCATTTTTGTAGACTAAATAATATGTTTTTCATACCTCATCATCTTGTTCCCAAACAAGTTTGGGTGGTGGCCTGGTGATCAGCTTCCCATCATCAGTAATGACACCGAGTATTCTTTGTTCTCCTTCAGATATGGGACGCCTGTCTTCATCTCCTGCCCTACGGAAAGTAACACAAAATGTTATCAATTTATTTAAACTGAACGCAACAAGACAATCATAGTCTTTGCAATATTGTGAGTTTTCCACCTTATGCGAGTGTGCTAATTACGAAATATGACTTGAATGATTTCTGGAGAGGCATCGGATTCCTTCTCGGGATTCTCTGTTTATGCTAATACATAGGGTGTTTAAAAATTAATGACACAAATTTTAAGGGATGATAGAACATATATATATAAATACATTTAATCATTGAATATATGACCGTATGTTAAATAATTAGAGGCTGGAGGAAACTTTTCTTTTCGCCCATATGTTGTCATTCGCAACGCATGGGCGTATGTGATCGTCATAGGATGCGTACAGTCATAGGATAGGATTTTTGCATATTGTGCCATTTTTATTTTCCCTTTTATGCGCTTTTGGAATGTTGAATACTTTTACTTTTCAGCTGACTTTATTCGATGTCTTTGTTAAATATTACCGACTGCGTAGACAAGAAATGAAAATAAATTAGCATAACTACTTTAGGAATATGGTGAGTCACATAAAAAGTGCTTTATCATAGCCACAAAATCAACCATATACAATAATTAATTGCCTGGTTATTTGAATATGGCAAAGGATACGAGGGTTATCTATTTAAGATAAGTACAGCTTTCTTGGAGGATTTTCTAAGGATAAGCGGCTCGTACTCACGTTGCACGTGAGGAAACCACGAAACCCAACCATGAAATCATATTTAGCAGTTTTTAACTGCTCGGACACTGGTAAGACCCTCTTACAAGACAAATCACACTGTGCTGAGAAAGAAATTATTAAGCATTAATTATTCAGAAATGAGTAATTTCTCTTTTCTACAAAAGTAGATTTGCTGTTATAGCAAGAACTGAAAATGTAACTTCTTGATTTATTTAATATACACTGCTGGCCACCCAAATAGCAACACCAAGAAAGACAAGACATATCACAACAAAATTTATTTAGTAGATAACTTGACTAAGTATCAAATGATTAAATTTATAGACTTCTGTGAAGTGTGGTTCCTTCCAGAATCAGTAGCCAGAGTAGCCGCCATTGTTAAAGATCACCGCTGCCACACGCCTCGGCATTGATTCAAAGAGACTTTGGATGTGTTTTTGGGGTACAGCAGACCAAGCAGCTTCGATACGTTGCCAAAGTTGATCTGGTGTGGTAGCTTGGGATGTAATCTGGGTCAATCGTTCAGCAACCATGGACCACATGTTTTCCTATCAGCAAAAGATCCAGAATGCGAGCCGGCCAGGGAAGCAATTCAATCTGGCGATTGACGAAGAACCCTTGGACAAGGCGTGCCACGTCGCGCATTATCCTGTTGAAATATGGCTGTGGGCAAGCCCTGAAGGTAAGAAAAGACAACTGGCTCGAACACCTCGGAGATGTAGCACTGGCTGTTTAAAGTACCGGTAATGCGTACTAGAGGAGTGCGAGAGTGATATCCTATACCGCCCCATACCATAATACCCGGTGCAAGACTAGTATGGCGGTGCATAACGCAGCTGTTCAGCATCCTCTCTCCACGGTATCTCCAGACTCTAATCTGACCATCGTGGTGTTGCAGACAGAAGCGTGACTAGTCAGTAAAGACAATTTCATTCCATTCTGCCGTCCACATCCTTCTTTTTATCGCACCATTGGCGGCGCAGACGTCTGTGGTTCTGCGTCAAGGGTAGAGAAAGCAATGGACGTCTTGCGGACAGACCACTCAGCTGTAAACGGCGTCGAATGGTACGCGCAGACACTGGATGATGCGTTACAGACTGAATGTGCTGTGCTATGGTTCGTGATGTGACTGAGCGATCCGTCACTACCATGCGCACAATGTTCCTGTCATCACATGAAGTGGTGCACTGAGGTGGATTTGATCGAACACGTCGGTCCGTTCTCCCTTCCTGCATCCAACGGTCACGTATCCGCATTACCGTTGTTTGGTTTTGTCTAACACGACTACCGATTTCTCTGAAAGATAATACACACTCTCGGTAGGCCACTATCCTTCCTCTATCGAACTCGGATACTTGATCAAACGATGATCGCTATTTACTACGAGGAATAATTGATTTTTTTTTCTTTTTTAAACCCACAAGAAAACGACAATTACCGAATTTGAAACCGTCGAAAACTCCAAGCCTTATAAATAGCGCTCTGAAGTGGCGCTACAGGCGCGCGTCATGTGTGTCTGCGCTGAAATTCTAATCATTTGCATATCTAACCTCCGCTAATGCATGTTGTATATTTCATGTTATTTGCTTGCTTCCTTCAGGGTGTTGCATTTACGGAGGCCAGCAGTGTATAATATATTTCAGTTCAAAGGAAATAAGAGATTTAAATTAAAAAAAATTTTTTTATTGTTCCGATTTTGATAGTTCTAAAAAATATAGGCGCCCGTAGGAAGGAGCAAAGGGGTCATTTGCCCTCCCTTTGTAGTCGTGTAAAAAATGTGTTCAATGATGTGTGCACAATTTTGCATAGAGCATGTGGGAACCCAATATGCATAATATTGTGTTCTATATCTACTTATGAACCTCCCAAATAAAATAATTGGAATTAAGTTTTGAAGGATTCAGAGGGTTTTCAAACCTTAATGGTGCGATTTTCTTATATATATGAAATAGATTATATATATATGTATATATGAATATATAATAATAATAATTTTGAACCTCTTGGGAGTGATAATGCTGAAGTATAACAGAAGAAATAACTTTCAGACGTGTCATTTTAATATTTCCTTTTGATTGTCGTTAGCCAAATATTTTTATTGCACAGCACTAAATAACTTGGCGCAGTCGTGCTTGTTTTTGAAGAATTAAATCGGTACAATTAAATTTGTAAAATATAATTTTCAAGACAGCCGGGAGCAGCAAATTGGCATTAGCGAAGCGGAGAAGCAAAAATACGACGCATTTCAGCATGATAACTTAGTTCAAAAGGAAAAATTTATGGTTTGTAGTTCTCTCATTCAAAGAATAATTCGAGCGGCACTCAGTTGTACACGTTCTAATTTCTTAAGATTGGTTTCAGATGCGCAGGAATAAATTGGGTAGCCATATTCTAGAATAGATCTTATTAGCGCAATATATGTGTTTGCATCAGCTCCTCAAACTCTGCTAGATATTTAAGGATGTTCAGGCGCTTACGGGCCTTTGAAATCAAATAGTCTATATGTCTGTTGCTGTTGAATCGTTCATATGTCTGTTACCAACCCCTTCAAGTCCTGCAGGTCGCCTCAAAGTGTGCTCTTAGCCGGCGAGGGGTGTACCTGGGCGGAACGGGCGATGTACGTCGGGAGAGTAATCTCCTGGAAGGGTGACCTAAGGCGGAAGGCCTTCCATTATGCTCAGCCAAGATCTGCAGGCAATGCAGCAAAGACAGACTTCTTCCTTTGGACTTCGCCCATGAGGCTCCAGCCTTTTTGACCAACAGAAGCTGTTCACTTCCTTCTCGTTATGGTTTTGTTGTAAAGATATTTGAAAAAGTGAGCTTTAGGCCAAAATTAGGTGAAACTTTAGATAAAATGCAAAAAAAGCTTGAAAAACACTAAAAATGCAACGAATTAAAAATACATTGAGCTTACACACTGTCATGGAAAGGGAGGTCAAACTGAAGCACATTAATAAGTCACATTTATATTGCAATCCAAAAATATTTCCGTAGTCTGCGAGTGCTTCAAAATATACTCTAAATGTAATTTAATAAAAAACTTTGTTGATCTCTTACAAAACCCACCTCATATGTTTCTAAGTTTTATTAAAATGAAATAGCATAAATTCAAAGTAAAACAGATCCACTATGTTGGCAATAATACCAAAGTTCAAATCGTAAATGAAAAAACAAAAGATGGTAAAAAATATAAAGCCTCAAAATACAAATAAGACAATAAATATTTCAATAATTATAATTAATAACTATAAACAATTTGAGTCAAAATTCATACAATCAAAAGATGAAAAAGGATGAAAAATAAGGAGACTTTTCACTCTTTTCTGAAGCCATTTTAAAAGTGTGCGACAAAGTAATGAAACAGTTACACTTAATATCGGAAAACGTTAAGGTTTGCTCCTTGTTCGGGAAAAAGCTAAACAGGGTTATACTGGTGAGAAATAAGTTGAGCCAATTATGGCAAACAGTCTTAAACGGTCACAAAACTTATATATATATAAGATAAAATATGTAAAGCAAACTTCTAATTTTAAATGGCAAAAGCTCCTTTATTCTTCATTTTAATTTGAACATTTTCTATTTCTGTCCTAAAACAGTAACTATTTATAATATATCAGTCTAAACTGCGTCATTTCAAAAATTAATCCGTATTATACGAACTTACATAACGCTGCAGTGCAGATACCTTTTATCAATCAGATCAAATATTTCTATCGAGAATCAAAATGCTTTGACTGTCTCCCACATTTTCTTCTGAATGCGTCGCTTTTTGCTTTTCTGCTTCGTTATCGCAAACTTCCAACTTGTTGCTCCTACTTGTGTCTTCAAAGATATATTTCTCAAGTTTATCGGAAACATTGCAAAAATTCTCTAAGAACAAGCGCTATAACTCCCACTTTTAAAAACATGAATAATAAATAAATAAATAAAAATAATAATTGAATTCGCCCTCCTCTTGGATTTGGTTCTAAATTTCTTACTTTTCCTCTCTCTCTCTCTCTACATATAGATATGTATACAAAGAAGATCGAGAATGATAACCTCTTTGGTGCTAGTAAAACTTCAATCATGCAATTATTGTGTCCAATGTTTGCCACTCCTGCGAATTTTTCTGCAGAAACCCGTATTACAGAATAGTATTTTAACTATCAGTACCGATATTTGTTTATGTCCTGACAAGTACTGATGACTTACAGAGGTGGTTGCATTAGGGAAGTGATCATCAAGACAGGATTCACTCTATCGTGATTAAGGTATGACAGTAAACGCTGTGAATAAAAATAAAACATACTTTGTAGAACAAATCTGCTCTTCTGTTGCGGAGTGGGATCTCAGACTGGCAAATCGAGGGAACATATCAGTTGCGGGATCAACCTTCTTACTTCGTAGACTGCAGGTGGAAAAAAAAATATAATCACATTTGCAATAACAGAAAACTTTAAAACATGCATTGAAAAGAATATATTTTTATATTTTAGAATGAATCTAAACAGTTGTTTTTAGAGACATGTGTGTAAAGGTGTCTAGCAATTTAAAGCATTAAAAATAGATAACCGTTTTTATTACAAATGATATATCGATAACTATTACTCACATACTTCGCCTCAAATCTCAAGGAGGCTTGCATTTAAAATATTACAAAATTTGCGCTTAAAACGTTTACGAAATCATTCCACGATATTTATATATTTCAGATATATTGTTCTATTTATCAATTAATGATGTTATTCTAAAACGTACTAGAAAATATTAGGCATACTGACAATATTTGTCTCTATACATAAGATATCTCCTACATCTTCTTGTTTTAAATGGCTGGGCACTTGTAACATCATGCAATCATCGGATATTGTCAAGACCCATCGGTCATCACCGAGAAAGCCCAAAGTGAATCACTAAAAGCAACGATTTTATTTCGGCCAGAACTTAGAAGTTCCGTCTCAGTTTTGACGCAGAGTGGCCAGGAAGACGGATCCGAGGATCTCCCACTCCTCTTCCCCTATCACCAAGTCTCTAGAGAGGACTTTCGGCTCGTCAGCATTTTAACTCAATCATCCCACGCAAACATTATTCGCTTACAAGCACACAGTTCTTCTCCGGGATTCGAGCCAGAGCCCAATGGTAGGTAAACCAGAAGCTCTATCACCTACGCGAATCAAGCAATATGCCTCCTACATAATGAAATATAATACATATTTAAGCAATATTTACTCTTCTTCTTACTTTTTTTTAAAGTTTGCAGTTTCCTTGTTTATACTTTCATGTATGCTTTTTTTTTCCCCTCCAAAATTAAATGCGCATCCCTTTTTCCTCTCCATTTTACTACTTTGCAATATTTGCACCGAGTTACTAGAAATTTACTTTGAGTATCTTTATTTATTTATTTATTGTTATTATTTTTTTATTTATATCATAAACACCTCAAGTATTGATTTAATTGTTATAATACTTTGCATATTTTTACTGAACTCTCTGTTAAGTATATTTTTTAATTATTATCATCTGTCATTTTATATATAGTAGAACTGTTTCATTGAATCATTTCATGTAACGCTTTACTTGCTGTAATGTTTGTAAGATCTGTGTAAAGTAAGTGGGGCACTGTTTTAAAACAACCAATGTAATCATCTAACGCAATTTATTATAGTATTTTGGTTCACTCATTTCTTGTGGTGGCTGCTTGTTGTCACCTATTTACATCATTCTTAAATAACTATTTATGTGTTATAAAACGTTTTGCATTGCTACAGTTATTATGTCAAACAACATAAATTGAATGTGTCGCATTTCACATTTAGTCGTATTTAACTTATAGTATTATTCGTATTTTATCATAGCTCTATCTCATAATATTAAGGCATTATACTATGGAATACCATTGAATTATGAATTCATGTATCTTACTACTAAATGCACTATATTACTGTACTATACTATTATACATTGACGTTTTGCTTATTGTCATATGTAGCAGCGTATGCAAGATGTCCTGTAATCATTTTTGTAAAGTACTTTTCTGTGACATTCCTGATTAAGAGCAATTAATGGCACTTGGTCTCTCAGCCATTGCCTTGTTGTGGTGGCTGCTTGTTTTTTTTTTTTTTTTTTTTTTTTTTTTTTCATTGATTAGGCATCATTCCGTTCGGTTTTACCTTAGGTCGGAAGCCTGGTCAGTGCCGCATAACCATAACCACATACATTATGAAAATATACTGCACAATAAGGTCGCACCTGTTAGTGCCGTCTACAGTTAAAGTGTAACGAATATGCAAAGCGTTTTCTGATTGCCAAAAAAATATTTCTCTAAAATTAAAATATATACAAACTCTCATCTCTTTGGTGTAATGAAAATATTCATGAGTAACTAACGTTTCGATTGTGTTTTGGCCTCCTCGGTGATTGCAGTGATTTGTACCCAGAGGGCGCACCGCACAATAGAGTTAGTTGCTAATAGAACGTAAAAGGAGCGATCACGCCATAAATGTCGGGAGTATTACCGCTAATTGATATAACTGGCATCGTATCTGCTAGGTGGCAGAAAACTAATATGATGTATCAATTTATATGCCAGGTGCCAGAATATATGTATCAATTCTTAGTTTCTCAGTTAGAAAATTTAGAAAAACAGATAAAGTATCTAGTCTGTATGTATTTTACTGAGCTGTATGTATTTTACGGCTTACAACGTCGCGTTTTCTAAGCGGGAAAAACGAAAAGAAAACAAAGTCAATTCTAACAAGAACATGACCGACAATCGGCACGACAGGTAAGGTGAAAACTTTATGAATCATGCAAAATATGTCACTACTTGCTAGGGTGTGTTATGTGACAGAATGAACGTTGCAAAAGTGCAGAACTGAACTATAGAGAGGTAGATTAACGTCATCCTCTGCTGAAACAAAAAAACTGGCAACTATTCTGCGACTTGTTGGCCGTCCAATTAGCCATTGCTCTGATACGGCTGTACATAACTCCATGGGTTCTTAACCTGAGATCAGATGACCCGTTGGAGGTCCAATTGGACCTGCTGAAACAATATCAGGCGGTCTATAAAAATTTTTCTTAAAAATGATATATAATATAAATATTTTAAGAATCCTATCCTCATAATAAAACTAATCTAAATAATTTGACATAACTACCCAAAAATCGCGCTTGTGCATAAAAGCGTAGACAAAATGATCGACCCAGTGAACACATATTGTTCACTATAATATACCGAGTAATCAGTAGTGTGGAAAGATGTAAGTTGTATTCTGTGAGAGTTATACTTTAGTGTTATAGAGTTCTTAAGTTTTAGCTTTAGTTCCTGTATTTAATCATGTTATTATGAGAAGGGAACTGTGGTCTTTACTTTTCTTCTTAATGTTTCGTAGAATAAAAAAAGGTAAGAAGATATGCTTAAGTGGCATGTTGCTGTAAAGTTTCAGTGGAAGACGTAGTATACATTTATCTAGGTACAGTTGTACCTTTAGAATCTATAGAATATTAGCATTCTGTGGTGCTTTCTGTCAGAACTAATGAGTTATGACAGAATGAGATTTCTTACCTGCCGTATAGCTTCCTCCCTCCTGCTAAGGCAAATGCATCATCTAAGAGATCGGAAATCCTCTGTCTTACCCTAGACAGGTGCAAATGAGTCTCGGCTGTCGCCGCCTCGCATTCAGATTTCGAACGAGACTATGCGGAAAAAGATAGCAAAACGTTTAAAAAGTCTCAAGGATTAAAATAATATCCATACATGAGAATATATAAATATGAAATAGCATTTATTGCAACAAGTTTATTCACACAAGCCAGATATATTATAAAATTCATAAAATGTTCTTTGCCGTGATATCTAGAATAACACTGGAAAGAATTATTAAAAGACCCATAAAAAAGAATTTCTGCTTTTTCAATAATGCTGATGAGTGAACTCCTTTTCAACTTTGAAGGCGGGAATATCGTTCAGTTTCAAACACCTGCACGGTACACGGTATAGAATATTCCTTGACATGGGTTTAGTATTTTTTACATCACTGAACGTAATAAAGCCAAACAAGGAATCGTTAAGGGGAAAACGAAAATTGAAGTTAAAATAAAGTATTATAAAATTAAGAACACATTTTTAAATTCGCTTTTAAATACAATAAATGTATCCATACTCCGGTATAATCACTTTTCAGAGGACCGAAATTTGAGTTCGCTATATCCAAAGGTTCATTGTATCTAATGGAGTAAGAAAGATGGATGATCTTTCAAAAAAATCGGAAATTAAGTGTCATTAGAAAATTCATAAACAACGTCTAAATTACTAAGAGGCATAAATAATAACTCTAAGACCCAACAGCTTATAAACAGCTGAGTTCTCAATTAATGAAACTTTCAAAGATGAACTTCAACAGCTTTCCTCAGAATGAATGACTGGTGGTAACTAAATATTTATGGGTAAAATACGATAGTCTGTTGGGAAAATGCGTGCATTGATTATGGGGGTAAGAAAATTAACTTCATTTGAGAAGAAATTTAAGAAAATCGGGGTTTCCAATCCGAAGTAGCTGACCTTGATTATTATTTGCTCTGGCTATACGGTGAATATGATGACGCCTAGAAAAGAAGGGGCAGCGACGCATCCAACGAAGAAAATTAAAATTTGAGCAATATCTTAATTTAAAGCAGCCAACATGAGATTTAATTCTGTTTTATGGGTGTTTTGTAGTTACAGGTAACAGTAAATATTTATTAGATTTTACTTTTATATTTTTTAAACAAAAAATATGAATGTAATGAGAATGTTCTGAACAAGTAATACGAAGTCCGTTTGAAATATTAATTCTTCTGTTAATCAAGATATCCAGTAAAAATGGATGCCAGTATAGCCTGTCTTCGAAAACGCTGCACAATTTTCACAAATAGTATTTCGATTAATAAAAGCTAAGAAGGGAGCGGAAGCGAAAATTACGATTGAGAGTAAAGTATCGTACTTTTGTAAAAGGCCTGCAGTTTAAGTATCTCGCTAATTATTATTCTTTTTATTATTTTCAAAATAATGACCATAAATGATTGGATATATCAGTAAACTCTGAAATTTACTGGTCTTTAAACCTTTTTCGTAAAAACCTGCATACATACAAAGATTCTTTTAAATGTAACGATATTTGAAATATGTCTGATGAATGAAATCCTTATCTCATTTTATTTATTTTCTTATATTTATTACGGTAAAGAGTCTGCTATAAAATACTTTTCTTACAATTAAATTTTGAAGAGGTGGCAGCAGTTCAGCGTTAGATCCATCACTTCCTGTTTCCTCTCCTCCTTTATCTGAATTCGGCGGAGATGAAAATTGCCTTTGAGGGGGAAAATAAGAACTTGTTTATTTTACAGCAATAATTAAAATGAAATCAAATATTAATATTGATATTTTAAGATCAAAACATTTTGTTTGATTTTCATGTATGGAATGAATAAAGTTTGCAGTAAATATTCTGAAGTACAAAGCTTTTAAACTTTCGCTGTAACTATTCTGAAGAACTTTGCCGTTTTCTTCTCAGTTTATCTGATTCCTATTACATGTACAAAATGTTATTTAATTTCTCGGTAAATATAATGCAATGAAGCAGTTATGCTTTAAGATATTAGACAAACCTAATCTTAATTTAAAATACAAAGAAGATTATATGAGTAAGACAAATTTTTTGAAACCACTGAAAATGCACATGGTTGACAATGTTGCCTCTTATCGTTATCTTCAGTTCCTTTTAATGATAAAATTAAAAAAAAATTAAATGTACCTATTGAAATATAATTATTTTACTTAATAATATAAGCTATAAAATACTGTTAATTGTTATTCCCCCTCCCTAAAATGGAATAGGTGAAAAAGGGTTGCAATCTGAAAAATTGCAGAATATAATATAAAACTTCAACGAATAGTTGGAAAAGTTTCGTGATGATTTACTTAAATAATTGTAAAGTCATTAGATTTGTTGAAACAGGAAACATGAAAATATGCAGTGCTCTCTCTAAACCTGATGAGTTCTGATTTCCCGATTTCTATCCGGACGTGTTTCCAGTTTCACTATGAGAGAAGGAGGGAGAAAATAATTTAGACTCTTCCTCACTTAAAGGGTGCCAAGAGAAGGCAGGGAACAAATCGCTAAATCCTGGTGGAAACGAATTATCGTCCACCAAATTTGAGTTTAGGCGCTACTTACAGAGCTAAATTTAGAATTTTGCTGAAACCGGGAAGCATGAATAATCAGCGATTCTCTCGCCGGAACTCCAACGCCAGACCTTCCAATGCTAGCCGGACGTGCTTCCAACGCACCTCGAAGATACACAGTAGTAGGGAGTTAAGTACTTTACAGCATAAGATTAACAAGGTAGGGAACAGTGAAGTTAAAATAGAAAATTTCTTTAAACCATTAAACAGGAAGCTGTCTATGACAAAGAGTTAACTCAAGAAACTGAGCATAAACTAGCGAAATTTATTCCATTTTGTTAGTAAAAAGGCAAAATAACGCAAATATAGAGTTTAACTCAGCATTTGCTAAAAGATGAGGGAAATGCAAATTGATAGATATCACTTGTAGATAATTATATAAATCTTCGGCATTATCTACAGTTATTTATATTTTATAAAATTCAGCTCTATTCTTGATTGCTAACGCAACAACCTTTAAATACATTTACCACCATTAATTATTACATTTTGGAAAGCTAATGTTAAGCGTCAAAACTTTTTATTCAGTGTACTCAAGAGTGCATTAAAAAAGCTTATAATATTCCTTTAGATCCAGTTGTAAGGTTATTTCTCCCACTTCCCTAGTGTGCCTTCATAGTGTAACGGTAGCGCGCTGGGCCGGTATTCCAGAGGTCCGCGGTTCGATTCCCGGCGAAGGCGTTTGCTATTTTTCATCTTTTCTGCCTATAAAAAAATCCTAATGTCTCTACACAGTTTATTCAGAAGCTTATACGTATGTTTCGACACTTCTTTAATAATAAACTAATGGCGTCTAACCGGTGGCTTGTGGGCGTCTGCCTACCACAATCACAATACCGGTTTGAAGCGAAAACTTTAATTCCAATGTAAAACACAATCACAAAAAGCGTATAGTTACATATCACATACAGGGGCGTTACATTTGTGTTCACCTACTTGCGTGTTGTCACCTTCACTACCTTCAAATACCATGTTACAAGAAAGAGGAAAACACGTATCGGAAAAGATGAGTTCAATTATCTGCTTTTCTGGCTAAAATCAATTTGTGTAAGAACAATTTACTGCAGATAGAATATCAACATTTTCCGTCATTTACCTTCATTTTAGACCTTGAATATATTTTAGGGTATGAACCCTCATATCCAGCTTCTTTCAGAAGGTTTTCAACATGCTTATAAGCATGTTTTTGTTGCTCACAAACAATTTTTGGAATAGCAGAAATGACTTTGGTAAAATATTATTGATCCAAATCGGAGGATAAATTAAAAATTTTTACTCTTCTTACTGATATAACATTCAAAAGCATAGAAAATTTAACTAACAGATACTATTAAATACAAAACATACTTAGGTGTGCTTTAACAGTGAAAGCACTTTTGGGTCAACGTATCTTGGTCAGCAGGCTTCTTCACGACTTATAATAATGGAAAACAAACAAAAACATGTTAACTCTAAAGCATGTGAAAAACAACATGGTGCTGGCATGCTGTGTATCAGAATATACGTCAAATTTTAATAACTCTTGAGAGAACATTAATAATCAAATATCTCATTAACAGCAAGTCGATGAGTTAATGCAGTACAGACTTAATGAATTATTTGGTAATTTAATAGTAGCATTTTTTGCATTATAAATTAGTTTATTAGTATGTGATTTTCTTTACTTTATAATTTGAAACAAAATTAGTTTGAACCTACCTACATCTGCCTTTTATTAGTGGATTTGCTTCAGTTTTCTATAGGTTCGTATTAAGTTTCCTTATAAGTTGGAAACACAAAATCTTCCCGTAAAATCATTTATTTTCATGAAATTGTTATTTTCCAAACAATTTCATGAAAACTTCTGAAAAATTCATGAAAACTTCTGGAAAACATCGGGTGTCCTCAATTCAAGGCAGAACCTAGTTGTAGTCGTTAAGACAAACCTGTTGGATATCACTGTAATAGGTAGAATTTGTCTCCATTTTGAAATTAATTACAGACTTTAAATAAATTGAATGAAAGAAACAAATTATGATGATAAAAGAAAAAATGATTTCTTTAAAAAGAAAATAATTTGAGGAATTGATTTGTGTAAATTCTTTTCCTGATCGCGATCTTCGCAATAATGGTTGAACTTTATTATTTTTTAAAATTTTACACAATATTAAAATTAATCACCTAGGTAAAGTTTTCAATAGCTTTTGAAATTACAGTGATGCCTCTCATAACGAACTCAATCTGTTCCAAGATATCATTCGTCCTGTGACGCAATTTTCCAGAAGTTAATATAAGAACTCTAATCCTTTCTCTAACGTAGATTAATATCACGAAACTCGCGTAATTTCACAGAAATATTTAAAATTCCACTTCTATCAGGAATTCTAGAAATTCCTTAATTATAAAAAACCGTTATATTATAAACACACGTTATTGATGCACATAGTCTCATGGGATTTGAGTTTAATTTAGTCCAGAGTATTACTAGATTTCAGATGAAGGCAGAAATTGATTTCCTACATCTGTTGCTGTTTCTTATTCTCCTGATCTCGAAGGATTTCGATCAAGTATATGAATTTATCACGGCCAAGAGGTAATAAGTACCTGTCGCTGGCTAGATTCTTGGGCACATTATAAGCGACAGTTCGACTTTTGCCCAGCCCTGAGAGAAATATAATTATTTTTGGCTGACTTGATTTAATTTTATTAAATTTTTGGCCACATTTAGAATTATTTTTAACAGACTTCCATTTCTGTCTGTAGTTTATGTAGTACACGTACAACGTTTGTGTAGCCCATGTAGTCTTGTATAACACGTAAATTGGTTGTTTTCCTTCATTTTTACCTAGCGCTTCCATTTCGTAAAGACACTACACACTTAACAAACATCCATACCTTCTCCAGGATTCGAACACCCGGCTCAAGGCCATGGCATTCCGCTCTTTTATCACCATGCCAACAGAACGCTGTTTTGCGCGTCTATGTTGGCGTTTTGGAGATGTCCAGATTTCAACAAGTTGCCTAAAATGGTTAAACTCTTCCTATCCTTTAGGATGGAAGTAGTGTATAAACTAAACAAGATCTGCCATTCTTTTAGTCTTAGCCTGATTGAGATGCCAGGGCTTGGTTGTGGCCAGGATTTCTTCCAATTTCTTCAAAAGGTTCTTGATGATTGTAGTATGCATGGGCCATTTGTATTCTCATCATTCTCATCAGAATCTTCTTTTAGGCTTTCTTATGTTCCTACTGAAAGAAAGCTTGCATTTCTGCGCTAATATTTATTACCTTTACTCGGTTGTTCTTTTGATTGTTGTCTTTTTCCATGTATAGACTACTTTCCATGTTTACGTTGTTCAAATGTTTTTTTGTTTGTTTCCATGTTCAAATTTAGCTTCATACTTTCTATGATGATAATGGAAAATGATTTTGCGTGAGCAGTCATAATGCGGGACATTCGCTGTGCGAGACACCTCTGTATATAATTAATATGCAATCGAAATGGACGAATTAGATCACTTTCAGTGCTTAAATAGAAACTTAGTTGAGCACATTAAAATTAATTCATGTGGAAAAACGCATATGCAGAACATTAAAAAAGAGACCATTTGTAAATAAATGGCTTTACTTATAATAAATGTTTACTTTTTGTGTTCCATTTACCTGCTAGAAGTCCCTGAATCAGGAGATTCTTTTTCCTTTTGAGCATCAGAAACTTCCATTTTTGATGATGATTTGGGTAAAGGTGGTACAGGGCGTAAGCTGGATGATTGTTTTTCTTCTTTCCCTACAGAATAAAATTTTATCAAATTTATTCATAAAAATAAAATTAGACCATTTTTTGTTTAGTAGAATAACGATTCTACCAAACAGAGAAAGGTTTGGAGTAAACACCTTTCCCCCAAACCGTTTTCTTGCATAAAGCTTGTATAAAGCTAATAAAGTGTTGAAATCAAATTCATTACATTCAGTTAGAACTTCAAGGAAAGAAAAGCCGTAGAGAATTTTAGTTTCGAATATGATTTGAATGGTTGGATAAATCAAATTTTTAAAAATAAAATATTTATCAGGTCCTCTTTATTTACATCAAAAAGTGCTAACGTGTCATCAGTATAGTGAACATAGAACGGGAGGGAAAAAAGTTTTTAAATAATTTAACCTCAGAAGAGTGCATGCAAATGTCAAGAAATACTGGACTGAGGGGCACAGTTAATCCTTCAGTTTGGCGACAGTGTTTCGTTTGGAAAACGAAATGGTTCTGACCGAGAAACACTTTAATAAGAGGGATTAGTTCTTCCCTTTTAGTGTTAGGGAAATAGAATTATGAAAGTATAGTTTCAAGAAATGTTAGCTCCCCATCAACTGAATTATATTCACAAAAGAAAATAAGTTAATTAATTAATGAAAAGCAATTGCCACGCTAATGGAACTAGTGCTTTGCATTTTGTGGAATTATAAATACAGGAATGTTTCTTTTGTATTTGTTTATTTAAAATTTATGAGTAATTACTTAACAAATGAGGCACCTTTTTACATTACAGATACTGAATGTAACTAATTTATTTTAAGAATAAGTCTTTACACCTTGCCTTTGTTTATTTTCTTAGTTTATAAATATTTTCATTTGCTTAGTTTACACGCATTTGCGTTCTGTTGTATTTATATTTGTATAACTGTTGTAGAATTCTTAGAAAATATAGGAAGCATTAAAAGAAAAAACAGTACTAAGATATGTGGTACTAGAAATATCTTTTATTAATAGCAATAATGCTGCAAATGCTGTAGAAAAAGTCATTTAGCTGTATTAAAAATTAAATCAGTTATATGCGGTTTTAAACAAAGTAAAATAAAGATTAAAATTATTAAGAGGTGCATCTTTTGCTTTTAAACCGCTCATTTGGTTGGCTGATTATGATTAAATCTGAAAATTAAATTAAAACTAAGAAATAGTTACTTACTGAGAATTAGATATTCGAGAGTTTAGTGGAAGATAAAGATTTATGTTTCGCGCAATGGCACCACTAAGTGTTCTGGATGAATACATGGCACCATAATAAAACGTAATATAACGGCCTTAAAAGTTTAAAAATATTCCTATTAAAAAAAAAAAAGTTTCTAATCTTGCAGGGTTTCACAGACTCAGTCCCTACTGAAACTGTCAGGCGACACATCATTATGTCTATGTAAATAACTACCAGCGCAGAAAAAGGTGTAAACAAATCTTATTATTTAAAATTTAAACTTTAATGCACGACTTGCGCTCACAATTTTGCGTTCACAGTTTGCGAGATTTCACATAATATAAAAGGCGAATAATTTTAATTCTGAAGATTCGCAATCAAGACTATCAAGTGTTGACGCATTTCAGTCCAGTTTGCACGAATAACTTGGCTGGCGAAAGGCTAACGCCGGATAGAGTAATCCTCAGAGCTGGGGAGAGGAAATAACCAGTGTGCAATTTAAGCAACAAATTCATTTTTCAAAATACAGCTATAAAATTAGTGAAAAAGGCCTTTTGCTATTAGTACAATGAAAAGCCAAATTAGTAGAAAGGTTTTGTGACTCAGTATTACATATACAAATATCAGCACCATGACGTCACAGGGTACGTCAGAGCACGCAAAACGTGAGAACTCAGCGCGTGCAGTGAAAGGCAATTTAAAAAGAAGAAAGGAAGGCGCATTCTGATGCTTTTTTCTGCAAGTGAAAGTGAGATTATAAGTGTAGCATAGCTAGCTACAAGAAAACACCAGGATGCCTTTACACATTATAGAACTAGGCAAGCTTGAGGAGGGATGTAGTTTGAAGTCTGTACCCCAAAAGTTTGGAATTGGTAAAAGTGTTGTTTCGGTAGCTTAGATAGCCTTCTAAATGATACGTACAGCTTAGAAAAGTTTGATGGTGGTCAGCCAAGGAAATTAACGGTGACTAATAACGGATATTTTGTCTAACAGGCGAAAAGAGATCGAAACCGGAAGCAGGTAACATTGCTCAGCAGCCGCGCACGGCGACAGGTGTCCCGTTTCACTACGACCAGACGATTTCACAGTGATAGCCTAATCTCTCGCCGTCCTGAATGCTGCATACCATTGACAGCAGCCCATCGGCGGCACCGTTTACAGTGGTGTAGAGAACACAAAAATTAGCCACTTATCAGTGGCGTTATGTCCTCTTTACAGATAAGAATCATTTTGGCCTGACAAACGATTCTCCACGCCAGCTGATATGAACAAAAGTAGGAACGTGTTTCCCTCCCACAAACGTCAGAGGAGGAGACCGTTGGATTGGCCTGGCATGCCTGTATGGGAAGGAATTATGCTGAACGGACGAATGGAGTTCGATATTTTCGACCGAGGTTCACTTACTGGAGATCGTTCCAATGGTAAAGATATTCTCCCTCACGTGTCTCTCTTCTGGGATGCCTGGTCTTCTGGGCTCGACTTTGTTTTTATGGATGACAGTGCATGGTCATGATCTTGAGGTGCTCCTCGAACGTGAAGATATCCATGGAATGGATTGGCCAGCATGCTACCCTGATTAAAAACCCACTGAACATAAGTGGGGTACTTTAGAAGGACACCTGGCGGCACGATCTTACCCTCCGCAGAACAGCAGATAAATGAAACACATGCTCTTTGAAGAATAGGAACTCTTACCACAAGTTTATTAGAAAATCTTTGTTGAATATGGACATATGGTGCGAAGCAAATATTACAGTTAGGGGAGGCCATATCCCTTACTAAGGCTCTTTGCTTTATTGTTTCTCCTCTTATCGAGACAGTCTTTTATACCAATGCCATTCTGTCAATAAGACCCTTTTCTTTTCCTTCCGTATTGCCTGTGTCCTATTCACTTTTTTTGTGTGCTATAATGCTTTCCTCATCCTTTAAGTACTACATTGCGCCTCTGTATTATGAATGTCGTATTTCCCAATTGATTTTTTTGAGGAAACTGCGGTCAAATTTAGAAAAGTTGCCTAAGTTTTGCTCACTAGCACAGCATACAACGTTTAGCGTCGCTGCCAGAGCTCACTCCTTAACTTTCAAAAACATTGTTATTATGTACATTTACATCGTAGCTAGAGCTGACGAAAAATAGAAGTGATAGTATAATTCAAATAATAAGGTAATTGGTTAATTAAACTAAATCTTACAATGTCAAAAATTGCTTCTACAGAAAGTTTCGAACTTTGGTTGGAAAATGTTTTGCTTTCTTATATTAAATCGTTTATTTTTAAAGATAAATATTTGTTTATTTGCAACTGTCCATATTAAAAAAAAGATGAACTCAAAATGTAAAGCCATCGTTATTCAACTAATTCATTTTAAGGCAAATAATGTTCGGAATAAAATTAAAATCCCGTATGGTTTAGGGAGGAACTTTATTTCACTGGCTCATAGGGGGTTAAAGCTTACTTTTTTATCACTTTTATGCATTTGTATTTACTCTAGTTCACAGTTACTTTCAAGTAATTACTCACATTATTTGAGACTCTCAACTAATATAATTGATGTGATGGTCCTGCTGCAGTTGAAACAGTTCCTAGGTGTACATACTGCGTCTATAAAGTCTAGGGACTAAGTTCATAAAAAGTTGAAAAAAGTAATATTCTCACGTCTTCGCCTTCAATATACATTTTTTTAAAGTTTATACAACGCTTTTCACGATCATACAAACTGCTTCGTAGAATTCATATCTTACAATGATGCTTAAATCTCTCGTTACTGCTCTGAATCGCTTTAATACTATTAAGATAATGACCACTAAGATCAGACTTGCCTTTAACGAAGGGAAATGAGTCTGCAGGTAACAAAGCTGATGAATAAAGGGGTCTAGAGAACAACCATAGTTTGGAACTATGACACTTCTCTTTGTCAGAAACTGCTTGTTGATAAAGGAACTGCGTAATGGCGTTTTGAAATGCAACGAAGAACTGCTATTCGATTGAGCATTTTCTGGTTTAAAGCAATGATTTGACATCAGAAGCCAGTCTTTATAAAATACCATTTTGTCTCTCAGGGAAACATTCTTTATCAATTATCCTTTTCCAATTACAAAAGACCACCAACATGTTCTTTACTAGAGATTTTTAAAAGCGAAGCATCCGTAGCTGAAATGTATCTTCTTCAATCCAAGCAGATGATGTGTCCCATGATTGTTAGCAAAGCAAAATGTTTCATCTCCAGTGACAGTTGTTTGAAAACAAAATCATCATTAATGTCTGGAATTTGATTCAAATCATTTTCTCAGCTTCTTCACTCATGACAGTTAACGTATACTGACAAACAATTAACTTCTAAGGAAATTCTCTTCGAAAGCAGACAATATCTTCGACAAAGTAATCTGAGATGTAATAAATGCTGTCAATTATTGTCCAGTACTGGGCGCTCAGCTGTTAGAATTTAATAACTTTCCACAACTGAAATTTATTTAAAAAATTAAACCTAAAACTTTGTTTTGACTTATTACGTGTAACATCAGAGAAATCCCCATCACATTAATTACAACATAACTTAAAATTTAATGTGTTTAAGCAGTTTGAAAAGTCTTTTTTAACAAAATCCATCCTCACAGGAAACAAAAATTGGCTTACTTTGATCGAGTGAATCTTTGCTTTTTCGTCGCTTTTTTGGTTTCGTTTGCTTCTTCTTTTCTAATGGATTTTCATCTGTCTCTCTCATTCCTTTGGAATGCTTTCCTGGGATAGGACTGGTAGCGGCGCTGAAATGAGACAGTGAGTACATACTGAATTTGTAGCATCAAGACAGTATAATAACCACGGTTAAGGCTGAACTCCTAAAGCACATAATATTTTTGACTTGCCTAAGTTCATATATTCAAATATTACTTTATTTTATTATTGTGTGAAGAATCATTAAACCCACCAGTTATGTATGCAATTCATAAACAAAATGCCTGAACTTTCAATTCGTTAATTTGAGGTGTTAATTGATAAATCAGAAACGAAATTTAATTAAAAATTGTTTCTTTTCCAGCATCAATTAAAATAGAAGGAACAAAAAATTATTTTACTTTTATTTTCATGATTGTTTTTTTTCTTCCGGGCTTACCTTCAAATAAATTCTTCCTTTTTGCTTTCGAATTTTTTTGCTTCTTCTTTTCTGCGTTTTCCTCTTTTTTTGGTACAAATACTAGTTCCTTCACTTATTTGCTGAATATATGGTGAATTCGATAATTCGAAACTTTTTTGCTAGAGCGAATGTCTTAAACATTTCAATATTTTATTTCTCATTAATTGTTTCATTGATTCTGTTTTTAAATTTTTAGGGTTTCTTGCCGTATATGTAATGTTATAATGTATATAATGATTTTAATGAGTACAGCTAGAGTTATTTTACTGGTTCACTTGATTAATAATAACAGTGAACAACTGCATTTGTTGCTTTTCAATCGCTTAATTTGTTAATCATGAGCGAAAAATTAAATTCTAAATAAAACTTAAATATTTTACGGTATACCGAACGGCAACACACTGGTGGATAGTGGAAAAAAAAGTATTTGACATAAGGCAGTGGCAACACATTTAAGTTGCTGAGTTTGTCGATTGAATTCGAAAGACAGATGCATTACGCTTTGTAGTAATGTCGCTTTGAGTAACAATACATTTCTTTTAAACTGCAATTTTTTTCCTGATTAAATTTGGAATATAAATAGGCTATGTTTTACCGAACGACAAGACATTCCTTTAAAATCGTTGAATTTATTAATAAAAGATGTCATTAAATTCATTCAAAATCTGAAATAAATAAAACAAAATCGATACATACATACATACAAATACATGTACACAGATTCTTCATTATATAATAATAGAGACAGATTAATAATTTTGAAACTCATTTAAAAAATTCGTTGCAAATAAACCAATATTCAGAGCCCGCCGGGGCTTCCTCTTTCAGCCGGGCCTTCAAATACTTTCTCAGTACACAAATTACACAAAATTTTACATATTATTAAACTTTAAGCCTCTACAAATGTAAATTTAGAAAAAAGTGGAAGCTTTTAACTTGATATTTTATTTTTTCACGTCTTTCTTCAAAATCAAGCATTGGAACATTATCTCGCACTCTCGTTAGCAAGTGACATTATTTAGTCATTAACTCTAGAGCAAAGATGGCAAATTTCTCTTCCATGGGGGAAAACACTGCCAGAAGAAAAATATTTCTTCAACGATGAGGGAAAATATAATTATTAAATCCTACTTTTTATTCATATACTTAATTTTTAAATGTTTAAAATGAATAAAATGTAAAATGTTTAACCATTTAAATAAATGTTGTACATTGAAATTTTTAAGCAATTTAAATCCACATATTTTTTCCTTTAGTACTTAAATGAATTAAGGCTTATATTCAATAAAAAATAGTATCCTGGTTTCAAATTTATAAGCTTGTATCTTATAAATTAAAATCATAAAAACAAATTTTAACAAAGGTAAAATATACTTTTGTGTACTGAACATTAAATGAAATAATGTGCAATTATTAAGTTATTTCAGAAAATATACAGTTCGTCAACATTAAAGGATACAGCCTGAAATAAAGCTTGACTATTAACTTATTGAGGAACGATTCTAAGCAATTTGTTCAAAAACATTATTTAATATCTACACCCAAGTTTTCTAGCTGCTTAATCTCAAAATACTAAATCTAAAGTCAAATTTATAGAAATTTAAAAGTGCAAGAACAATTCTCTCTCCTCTTTTGCGGTTTCTTAAATACGGTATCAGTTCACCCCTGATAGAAATGTAAACCTCTAATTCTGTTTTCCCAGAATTTAAAAAAACTAGTGACCAAGTCTCGTGGCATAGCATGCCGCTGTTCTAAGCGTACATCTTTCAAATCTTAGAGAACGCGAGGAGGCATTTGGAGCACTGAGTTCAGTGGCGAATGGCATATTACGCATGCTTAATCGGGTTCAAGCCAAGTCCAAACTGGCCAATTCGCTTGAGTGATATCTTCCATTTCCAAGTATTTTGATCCCAAAGATGTTTTGTACAGGTTTCCATTATCATACAGTAATAAAATTACAGGTGCAACAGCATGCCTAAATGGCCTTACATGAGATTCCAAGACTTTGTTCACATAACTGTTTATAGAACTTCCATTAAAGATATGCAGCTCCATAAGGCCATTTTTGATGATTGCATCCCAAACATTGAAACTGTTTCCTTGAAAATGGGATCTTTCATAAAAAGGGAAAGCAAGTTGTTTATTCCTCCCTACCATCAGATCAAAATATGTCTAGATGCACAGTTTAAGCTATATATGGACTTGTCAGTAAGTCCCATTCCTCTTTCTCATTTGAACATGACGATGACGACGCATGGGCCGCTTTGGAAGATTAAGTGAGTGGGACACAAACCATTTGTAACGAATTTTGTACATAGACAGATCATTTTTGCGAAATTGTTGAATTTTTCTGCATACTGTAACATGAAAAGCTGAGAGAAATGATGCTGTGCAGGAAAAATAAGAATACAGAGACATTAAAATTGAGTAAATGGTTATCTCGCTAATTTGGCGAGATATCGCCCAAAGTCGCTAAACTTGGTGACTATTTGGTGTCATTTTAGTCTGGTCCCGGTATCACCGAAATAGTTATTGCAATTGAACAGCTGTGATTGATTTCATATGTATCCGGCCCTCATATTTGCCTTCCAGTACGTGTGTGTGTGATTATGGCAAAGCCTCGAGGGCTATCTGCCTAAGAGGAGGGATGCCTTCGTGGAGGACTTTCTAAGGGAAACTGGCTCGTATACATGTTACACATGGGGAAAACCACGAAAACGCCCATGCAGCCAGCCCGTTCGCGGGACTCGAACCTCGGACCGAACTACCAGTATTCAGCGACTTAACCGCTCGGCCTCTGGTGGGCCGCCTTCCAGTACGAGAAGTACTATAAGTATCTCGGTGGTCACATGAAAACTATCTAAGACAGGAGATCGCATCTACAGTAGTTGTGAATTGTTAGTTTAACGGAAGTGCGGAGTTATTGAGATAGCTAGCTTCGCTCTCCAGATGCGCTTTGTGTTTAATGCTCTTAGCAGGTTGCAATGTAACTACTAACTGTACTCCGTGATACTGTAAAGAGTTGTACGACTGTTTTTATGGAAAGTCCAGAACTGTGAACCGTCCCTTTTGATAAAATAAATTTTATTACGCTAGCATCGGTTTTGTGTGCATTCACCTTAACGAATCCGTATGCAGGCAACACACTTTTTTTTTGCATGAAGTACAACCTCCGAAGCTTTCCTGTAGCATTAAAACGACTGATTCGAATAGCTGTCGTAGCTTGAAAATCCAAAACCAACACTTTAGTAGTCGCGTCACAGTTTTTCAAACCGACAATGACAGAAAATTGTCTTTGATTCTGTTGTTAGTCTTCGTCATGCTTGATAAGGCTATCTACTAACTAAAAAGGCGGTTTCAAGTTCTTGATTCACTTTGAGGAATATTCAGATTTTGGGCGACCTTCATTTACATTTTCCGCTCTATTCGACTTTATCAATCAACCACCACTTTTCCTTTTACTTAAATGATGCTTTTGAGTAATAACTAATGAAAACTGTTCACACTTAAAAAACGCGTTAAATTTAAACAGTTCTGCACATCCAAATTTAAAAATGAATTTATTGCACAACATGTTGTCAGTAGCATAATTTGCATGTTTCATAAGCTAAACTATGTACAGAAGTTCAGTTTCGCGTTTATATGCAGATAATTAACATACATAATTACGCCACTAGATATTAGCTGAAGATTTTAGAAGTTGAAGATTATAAGCGCGTATTTTTCCAGACGACACTTTAATTTTGACTAGCAGCTTACCTATATAGTTTTCATCAGTGTTAAATATTCTAAAATCTTTTACTATGTTGAAAAATTTGTAAGTTTTACCTCAGGCTTCTAGGTTTTGTGTTAATTAACGCATTTACTTTATTATTTGGCTTTAATCCAAATTCAGCTTTTGTCAGCAAATTAGTCAAAGCATAGAGTTCTCGAGTTTATGATACAGCTGTTGGCAAACTTGCTAATCCTTACTCTTATAGGCTCCCCAGCTTGATTTATGTTTTTTTTTTTTTTTTTTTTTTCTTTTCCTTCGGCAAGCCGCATTTTCTTCATGTGCTTTATCTTTAATTCCACATATAGAAATAATTTCTTGTCCGAAGCTCCGTTGTTCAAGTCCTGCAACTGCCACGTTGAGAATTTCCACTAAATGGTCAATCGAAATTTTTTCGTTCTTAATAACCCCTCTGTCACTTTTTTCACTATTGGTAGTAATATTTTCTGGATTTAAAACTACATTACAAATTGCTCCTTCTGTTAGCTGGTTGCTGATTGGGGCATTGTCATCGCAATGAAAAACTTCTCTTATAAAATTTTCATCCATTACCGGTTCTCCCCCTTTCTTCAAAAACTCCATTAATTGGAAACTCGCTTTTTGTTTGCGATATCTAAACACTTTCAAATTCGCGGCAATCAACATAAAGCTTAGCTAGCGTCTGCTATATATTGTTGGCGATGTATCAGGAGACTAGCGACCGATAAATTTTGTCTTACTTCTAGACAAAGTTAAGCCTGATTTATATTACTTATTTATTATATTTACGCCTATTTCTCGCACACGCTTAAGGCTTAACTGAGTTCCGAATAAATAAATTCCCACGTGCACTTAAGGTTTATCCAGGGCCGGCGCTTTTGCGGCCTGGTGCAGTCTCTGCGGGTAAAACATTCTGATGACGAACGCCTCCCTAAATAAATAAATAAAAAAAAACCCGCACTTAAACCCTCGGCCTTCTCTAAATTCTAAAGATTTTTCAAATCCTTCATTTTACTAATCTCTAAATTCTAAAAATTTTGCCTCTCTAAACTCCGCATTTAAGTGCAGTAACACACTGGTTCTTGGCTTATCTGAATAACAAATCAGCTATTCTCCATTCAAACAACACTAAATGTAATTGTGTAGCCTATGAGTATCATTCACAAAAATCTCTTTTTGCATGTGGAAAGAAATTTATGTTCAATTTCTCCTCAAATTTCAACATGCTCATCATTTAGCAACGGAGTTAGCTGAAATTTGTTATCATCGCCAAGCGTAATGTAAACATAAAAGATTGCCATGCTCTTTGAAATTCAATTACTAATATTAAAAAAAGTTCAGACATCACTACGTAAATTATTTCTCAACCTGAAGAATGTTGATAGTCATGCGGTGATGAAAGCAAAAAGTAATAAATAATTATTTACCAGGTTGGCATCAGGGCTAAAGTGAAAATTAGGACTCTCCTCATGGTTTATTAGGAAAAAAATTTAAAAGCATAAAAAAATTTAAAAAGAAAGGGGGTGAAGGTTATGGACGAAAGTCCGAATTTTAGATCATTCTGCATACAGGACATCCGGATTTCCAACTTTGTACTGCACTGCCCCTGATTTACGTGAAAATTATTAGCAGTAATTTTTTGTTTTTCAGCGCGTAGCAGTTATTGCTGCGGAAAAGCTGCACTTAAAATAAAACATTTCATCAATTTTGTTACTAAACTCAGTTACTTACGTTTTCATTTAGCGACCTCTTTATGGATAGTTTATAATATACGTCAAAAAGTCACTGTCAAACATCATTCAACTGTTTTATTTTTAATTAGTTGAATTTTCTTTGAAAATATAACGGATTTTTCATCGGGGAAAAAAAAAAAAAAAAAAAAAAAAAAAAAAAAAAAAAAAAAGCAGTGCACCCGAAATCACTATTTTAAATGCAATTAACTCTTTAGCACAAAAAAATGTTAATCTTTGTAAATTTTGCCTCCTTTCAAAATAATTAATAGCTTCTCAGAATCGAAAATACAGCATCAGATGAATAAAGGGTTTTAATATCACTTACTCTTTATTCTCCAAGATCTTCAGTATTTTCATGGATTTCTCGTAGCCACGAGTACAAGGTTCATCTTCAGGAGATCCTTTAATAGGCAAAGCAGGCAAACTTCTACCAGAGGGTGCACGTTTTTCTGGGTAGTACAACTCATGCGCAGCGGATCCTTGCTTCATCTGCGTTGCCATTTCCGTTGTCAAATGATGAGCCATTTCTTGAAACATCTATTGATAGTAATGAATACATTTTATCTAAAACCTGATGCAGTTTGTATAGATTCAAATACTTTTTTCATAAGATTGCTTTAGTTGTACTAATGGGCACCGTTTATAAAGAATTTTCGAATTGGGTAAATTCTGCAAATAACTACACAATTGAGAACCGAACCTTTGTTCTAAGTATAAATAAGTCAGATTGAGATGATAGTGCTTATTTGATATATGTAAATAAGTAGGATTCCAAAACTTGAAAATAAAGATGTCTGCTGCAATATCTCGGACAATGTTTTCCTTATTATTTACTTATTATAAGGTAAGTGTGATGTGACGTTTGCGATATATCTGTTCTCTTTACAGTATGCTGATACCAGTTCCAACTCAGCTTTGAGGTGATAAGGCCCTTTATCAAGCAACACAGCTTTAAGTAAATGTAATAGTTTCGTAATGCCTTATCAGACGATAGATATACATAAATAGAAAAAGAAAAAATAAAACAAAGAAAACTAGGGTTAAAAAAATAGCTAATTTAAACGGAAGTTCGCATGACGAAGTAGGCATTGCACTTGAACTGCTGATTACAACGTTTCGACTTGTTCCCAATATATTTCATTAATTGTTAACGCCAAACTTGTAGAGAAATTAGGTATTTTTTGGAAGCAGAAGAGATGAAAAATGAGCAACGCCTTCGCCGAGATCGAACCACGGACCTCTGGATACACGCACAGCGTGCAGACCACTACACCACGAAGGCACGCTAACAATGCGGGAGAAATACCTTATATACTCCCCCTTTTAAAGCGATACTGAGGTTTTAGGGTACCCAGTCGCCAAATCCTGGGAGTGGAGAATCATCATCCACCACCCTTTTAGTTCGAGCGCCACTGTAGAGCCTATAGTTTTTTTTTTTTTTTTTTTTTTTTTTTTTTTTAGCAGGCAAGATGAAAAATTAGCAACGCCTTCGCCGGGAATCGAACTACGGACCTCTGGAATACACGTCAAGCGTTCAGATCACTACACCACGAAGGCACGCTAAGAAAGTGGGTGAAATACCTTATAAACTGTCGTTGTTTTATTCCTTAAATTTTATATATTCTAATGACAAGCAACTGCGCATGTGATTTCTTAAGGAAGTATAGAAGCAGTTCAAAAAATATTGCTTCCCTCAGAAAATTCTTCATGAAAGAACTCTTGTAAGGCAAATAGCAATTGAAGCTTTACCTAAAAACTTATCTACTTATAGTGCTTGAAAAATAAACTAGACCTCAAAATATACATAAAGTGAAACACAATAAACAATGAAACATACAAACCATACACATAATAAAATGAAGTGTGACAATTATATTGCTATCAACTACACACTTGAATTTTCATATTTCCTGCTTCGAAAAGCCTAACGGTCTCTTCAGAGGTGCCTGAACTAAAACATGGAGGACATTAACTCGTCATCAATAGGATCTGTTTGCCTGTGTCTCATGCCTCTTTCATGTCACTCTTTAACTGGAGGAAATTCTAAAGGAATATTCCCAAATGTGTGCATTCGTGATGTAATTAGTTAGTACATTCAGCTAGCATTGGAAAATCCGTGGCTGGAATCCCGGCGAATGAAAAGCGAAATGTTCATATTTCTTAATTTGGAAACCCTAATGGTCTTTACAGGACTAAGTAGTTTTGTTTCATTTCTGCCGACCTTTACCCATTTTGAGAACTCCTTTCACCCGAGGAATTGGAAAATTTAACCAGTATTTAAAACGATGAGATGGAAGTTGTTTATCCAGCTATTTATCTGATTTGACAAACTATCTCACATAATCAAACTACCTGACGTAATGAATTGACTGTCAAACTATCTCATATAATCGTTCAGTTTCTATGCTCTTCATTTAGTAGACTTCGCGCAAAATGGAAATTGGAGCATTTAATTTTCTAATTAGGTTTTAGATTTTTAATTACCTTCGAAGACGAGAATTCTTTGGAAGCAGAGGGAGAGTAAACAGGATGTAGTTTTACAGTTAATTAAGTAACGAAAATAACGAAATCCCATATGGGCCATTCCATTCAAATGGAATTCAGCCCCAATAGAAGTAAGGGCATTTATCAGTTTTATCCCTCTGGCCATTTGCAAGAGTTAATAAAAGATAAAACACTTACATGTTTCCTGTTATGTTGTCCATATTTTGAGAGCGATCGCTGCAATGAACCACTTGCGGAGGATGCTGGACTGGATGGAGCAGGTTTAGGTCTGCAGCAGCGCCAATAAAGGATTAAACAGCAAAGCATGAGTAAAAGACCACCCAGAATTCCACAGATTATAGCTACAACAGGAATAAGAGAGCCTAGGGGCTTGGCTTCTGTTTCTTTATCTGGTTGATAAGCTGCAAGTTACAATTTGAATTAATTGACCAAAAAGAAAGAAGAAGAATATCATAATATCCCAGTATTTTTGTAAATAATGTACCTCAAAACAAACTTTCGACTAATTTTATAAAATAATCTCAAGTATAAAAAATTCTGAAGTTATAAGCATTCTGTTAAAATTAAAGCACGAGGAGGCAGTTTTAAAACATTTTAATTTTAAATGCATCTTTGAAGGTTTGAATCATCATTGATTTCAATATGTTTTCAAACATACGAAGGTTAAATATAAAATAGGCATATTTTCACATTGCTCATGAGCATATGACATTTCTACTATTCAAAGCTCGTCAATCAAAGTCTAAAGGACAGATTAACTAAACTGAACTCTTGTTATGAAGCAGACTCATAAAAATCAAAGGATTTTCAAATTAAAAAATAAGCATTCATCATAACTCCTTGAACATCAGTTTCGTGATGTTAGAATTTTTCATTTAAATTTAACAGTTATTTTTATGCTAATTAATTTCTATACTTTTTTATTTTTTTAAATTTTAATTTCCCTCCCCCTTGTACTAAGTAAAGGAGGTATTGTAATTACGTAAAATTTCAGCTATCGTAGTTCAACGAAAATATCCATTTTGACTGCTTTCGAATCGATTTGAACGATGTTTTTGCGTGATATGTGTATGTACGAACAGGATGAAGCACTTCTCAAAACGGATTGTGAAATGGATTTAAAATGCATTAAGAAGAGATTTTTTCGTGGCGTCTGTACGATTTTTTCGTGGTGCATGTATTTTGCATAACAAAACGAGTAGCTATAGAACATTGAAAATTGTACATGAGATTGCTATAACATGTAGTTGTGCACCCTCCTTTTTGGTTCAAATCGCTTACTCCAAACATATATATATATATATTAATTATAGACAAAAATATTAAGAAATCCAAACGTAAATCCACAAAGACATGAAATCCCAAACCAGTAAATTCCCTAAATCCCTCAATAGGAGAAAAAAAAACCCTTAACTGTCTCCAAAGAAGCAGAAATTCCGAAAAACAACAGGTATTATGTTTTAAAAAAATATTGTAATTCATAAACAGTATACATAAATACAAATATAGTTAATCTGCATGCAATTGTTGCAGAATTATCAACAATTTAAAAGTGACGCTGCTAAGCCTAACGAGGCGGTCATTTGTTTACATTTGAAACTTGGTAAAATAATGAATTAAGTCCGCGCACTAAATTCCGTGTCTTTCTGCTTAGTGTTACCAAAAGCTAACTTTCAGTTTTATGCACTGAAATTTCTGCCTTCGTGCCCCCTGGCGGAATTCCTTGTTTTTGTGCAGAAACTCTAATTTTAATTGCAAAAACGGCTTTTTAAACTGTTTTAACTGTATTTGTTGTTTTAGGTTTTGCTGTATTTTACAATTTTTAATGAACATTTAGTTTCTATGTATTTTTGTCTTTCTATGTAGTGGGAACTGAATTAATTAATTAGAAATATACCTCTAATGAGATTCTAGGAAATAATTTTAGTGAAGGATGTACAGGAAAAAATGTATATAATTTAATAGGCCGTATAAGGAAGTCATATGGTGCCTCCACATCAGATATTTATTTTTTTGCTGCCTTCACTAGAACAAAATTTAAACAAGGTTTAAAAGCACGTATGGTATTATTTATTTTGCATTCATAATACGGAAAGAGTTATCTAAATAGCGATTCATCAGTAACAGTCCCACCACTTTTCCAGCCTATCTATTGTTGAATTGAATCTACTCATACGTTTAGTGAGTGCTAGTTTCATTTCATTAGTAGTTTCGTAAGATTTAGCAGTAGTTTGGTGATAGCCTACCTGTTCAAAGCTAAAGCTTGTAAGCATACGATTGTTTTCCTGATCCTTTATGGGTTATTCTGGCTTTCAGCGGGAAAATCAAATCGCTCTTATCAGATCTTGAAAGAGTTCCACTTAGGGCCTGACTTTTCGAAAACCTTGAGGTTCACGCTGATTGAGCTGATAACGGAAGAAGATTTGAGGCACTTTTATGTATGAGAGCAGCAAACTCAAATACTGCCAAATCTGCTGCAAGCTTTGATTGTTACTTTTTTATTTCAATTTATATTTGTTTGATTTAGATGTTCACAAGATGCGGTGAATAAGTTTTGTAATCTTCAGTTTTTATGATTTTACATGTCACAGAATACGCTTTTAAGTTTTGCTATCCTCTTTCCGTGTTTATTGAAGTTACAACTCAAATCAGTTTGTTCGAATAGTAATAATTCGCCTGAGTTTAATAAGATTGGCATATTAGATAATAAACAGTTAAAGACAAAATTATATTGTATTCTTTTTCTACCTTATTTAAACCATTTAAACATTAAACCACGTAAATAAATTTAAAAGATCAAATAAGAAAATGCGAATCTGATAATAGGAGTTACGGATTTTCTGGAATTCGCATAAATAGAGTCCTATTGCTCATTTATTTTCTAAACGAAAAGAAAAAAGGATCAGTTACACAATACCGATTATGCGTGAAGTTTTATAAACGGTTCGCTTTGATTTAAATTCTACCTTATTCTCCTTGGCCTAACATGATACTTGCTAAGACTCAAGGAAATTGAATGGCAAACAGCATAGTTTAAAAGTAGGATGTAATCTTAACCAGTAGCCTAGTGGAGTTTACATCGGATTGCTGCCGTATGCTTGTGAAATTCGCCCGCAGTAGTGTTAAAGGAGCTGCCAAGAAGTCAGTTAAGAAGTTAGCTATCACCGTTCCAACTCCAGGTGTTTACAGATTTTGAGTATTAGGCTACTGTTTTAAACAACAGAGAAGTTAACATTAAGTTAAGTTACAAGTTTTGTGTGTGAAAAGTATTTCAGTTTATGTTATTTTAAGTTTTATAAGACACCACGAGGAATGGCTACTGTAGTTTAGCTTAAATTTTACTTTTAAGTACTGTCTCGTGTGAACAGTTAAGCAGTACAAAGGGAAATAACTTGTCAGGTGTACTGATAGCGGTTAGGTATTTAGAACAAATCTCAAGTTATTTCCTACCCCAGAAGTTACAGCACTAAATATGATATCCATCTTTAAATAGCACTTACGCCTTGCTTTCACAATAGCGTGATGGCCCAAAAATTCCCTCAGCTGTTCATATGTCAGGGAACTCAGGTATTTGGAAGCGATGGTGGCAGGCACGAGAGATCCTCCTTTCTCGACGACATATATGATCTCCAGTTGACGAAGTAGGATGTCATTGGTGAGACTCAAGATCTGAAAGTCAAGAACTTTATTTTAGCATTACTATAATAACTTAATGAATAATTTTACAAATTTCTCTGCTCATAATTTCGTTGACTTCTTCGTGTGTATGATGCATATGTCTTTTTAACAAAAATTTTAAAAACCATGTTAAGATACCTTTCTACATTCATACGTAGATACATATCTATATGTATATAGAATGACGGCAGGATTTATTAATGTACCGCGAGCTGGAAACCAACAACTTCCTGCTTTTTCTGTTCTTGTAAAAGCTGTTGGAAGCTTCCTATTATTCTCAGAGATATTAGCGATGGTAGTTCTGCATATATTGAAGATACTACAATGAACATGATATTTAAAACATCTTCCATGTAATGTAGATTAAATTTATCTTTCTACAGTTGGAGCACTCAAGAAGATCACCTTATAACGCATTTGGAATGTTATGGTATGTTTCGTTTCTCTGTAAACGTCTCTTTGTTGAACACTGCTTGAAGAATATTATGTAGTATTTCCTTCGTCATAGTCGGATTAGAAGTTCAGGTGGAATTAAATTTAAATTGATTTCTTTATTAACTTTCGTTGATATTCCTTCCTCAGCATAAGCTAGTACAGGTGAAGATATCAATTCTAGATTGGTAATAGATTTACGGCTTGATTCTTCAGCGTTCAGATAATAAATTTTTCAATAAATTATCAAAATATTAATCAATATTATTGTTTGAAGATTTAATGTCTTGTTACTCAAGTTTATTCCACTTTTGTTTTTCAAATTGTAGTTCAATACTTAAAGTCCTTACAACCAATTTCAACCTTATTTCATGGAAATCTCCACTTTCTTTCAACGTTTTTAGATTCTCAACGTCTATGAAGAAAATTTCGTGAAACTCTTTTAATTAAGCTTATAATTCTCTTTTCTTTCTCTATTGCCATTCTGTACTCATAATCAGAATTTCTTGAATAACTTTCAAGTAACAATTTTATATGCAGCATTTTCCCTCTTCATTGTTATTTGCAGACTGCTTCAAGCAATCATTTTCTTCCTGCGTTTTAAAAAATTATGTTGTTTGTGTAGATAATAATATCTTCAAAAATTAATTATTCAGTTCGGCTTTTATTTTGGCTGTTACAGAAGTGTGATCTGAATTACAATTATCTCTGCGGTAGGTTTTAATGTCGAATACATCTGAAAAATTCCTTTCAGGATGGGGATGTGTACGTATTTTTTTAATGTTGAAATAGTATACTAACCAGGAAAGATAAAACCTTCGAAAACCGTCATTAAATACAGATATATCACAGTGGTCTAAACGCACCTTAAATTACAGACTTATAAATAACGTCATCTATGATTATTTTAATTCATTTTTTGAGCACAAGATGAATAATACATGCATATCTTCATAAATTTTTATCATCAACTTGAGTTGGTGCAGTTGAGGATAATACCTAGTATTACGTAGATATGAAGGTTTCGTCCATTAGAGGATTTATAAAAGGGAGAACCACTTCACCTGAACTTTGGGGTGGTCCTCATCTTAAGACACTGGGTCTATTTATTTTTTGATATCTTAATTAATAATTACGTGCTTCTTTGAACGCGCCCCCACTCTCGATTGTGACTTCCACGAACTCAAAATCCACCTCTGACAGTGTCAAAAGCATTAAGTCGAATACTCCTATTTAAATTAAAACCTGTTAAAAAGTGTATTCCTTTCCATCGAAGCTACTGAAGATTGTGCGATTTCTTCGCTTTACGACTCCATCTGCAAGTCGTGTCTCCTGTTCAGCTAATACGTCCATACACTATCTGTCCATTTGCTCAGCCAACATTCATTTTAAATCCTCTGCTTCAATATAAAGATGCTACATATTTAAATTCCCTTAAGCATTTGCTCGACCGTTTTCTAAAGATCAGTCCGAAAGTTCTTCCTGTAAACTTTGCAATAACAGGGTTTCATAATGCAATATTTTTAAAAAGAATATGTGTTACTGAAAATATCAATACTGAAGTAATTGAAGAAACTCAAGTATTTAAGTTGCTTAGAGTTTTATAATGATGTCAAATTAAATGTTAGATTGGCCTTAATAAAAAAGCATATTTTATCGAAATCTCTCGGAAATAAATTATGTTAAATCGTAACCTCGTTTATTATGTTTTCAAAATTCTGAAAGCAATTACAAAAGGAGGAACTTTATAATGAAAAATAACTTCGTTTAATTGGCAACAACAACAAGAAAAAAAAAAACCTGTTTTCTTTTCTCAATAGTTTCCTTTGAAGAACAAAAGATTAAATTTATCTACATTTTAATAAATTTTTGTAAATAAATAAAATTAAAAAGTTTATCAGAAAACAAACTATTCACACTCACTTTTACAATAATCATGTCTTCTGGTTCATTGCTTCCTTTCTTCACTGCACGTCTACGAAAGGCTTCGCTATAGGCATTCGCGAAACGGATTTCCATCGTGTGGCTGAAATTCTCCGGCAAATCCTTCATTGGAGCTTCCAGCACTAAAATGAATTCAGTTATTAAGAACAGCAATAAACATTTAATAAAGAAACTCGGAAAGTAGTCAGTAAAAGAGAAAGAGAAATAATATAGTTACTAACACAAAAGTGCTGAAATTGTTTAAAATTAATTTCATATGAAAAAGCTAGAAGCATTTTCGGGAAAGGAAAAACCACTGGCCGCTTGAAGTTATAAAATCTTATAAAAAAAGAAATAAAAGTTAAAGGCAATATAAAAGACAAAGAAAGTACGGTCAACTTTCCATATGCCGGGATAGTACCAAAAACGACGTCCACGATCAAGTCAAAATCACTGTTAATCCGAAAGCAATTAAAAAAACACAGGACACAGGAAAAATCAATATGATAATTAGCAGAAAAATTCTATTAAAAATTTACCTTTATTTCCAAAGAGTTTAATTTGAAAAATAAATTCATTCCATAGTTACATAAATTAAATCAGTATTCGAAATAAAAAAAAAGCACACTGTAATAACGAAAGAATAAATGTCATTAGAAATAAAAAAAGATAGATTATAAATGGAAGGAACAAAATTTAGAAGTGTCCTTGAAGGCAATTGCCGAGTTCAAACTTATGTACAAAAATAGGTTAGAAGTTTTGCTTTGTATTATAAAATCTTCATATATTCCGATTATGTACGATTAAATTGCGAACTTTGTGAATAAAAACAATTCACATATACTATGATATCATATGTTATCACTGTTATTATTCAACACATTATTTCCATTTTGTATTTTCCGTAGGCATTTTTGTTTTACGGTGATGGTTTGTGATAGAAATGTTTTTCCCATTTCGAAAATGATTGTTGGAGGTCGGGATTAACTCGCAACCTTGTTAATGCGCCATCAGTTAATCGATAAAGTGAAATATGGAAATAAATTCTGGACGGATACAAATTTTAAAGTTCGCATCAGTGAGGATAAACTATAAGCGTTATATTCGTTATAAGCGATATACGTTATCCTCGGAAAAGCAAGCTTTAAACAAAATGATATATTTCAGCACTATCAAGTGTCCAAGCACTTTAACCATTATACGCGATATATGTTATCTTCTTAAAAGGAAGCATTTGACGATCTACTTTTGAGCATTACATGCGTCCACGAGTTACAGGCATTATGGAAAAAAGTTATAAGCGTTATAAAAATAAGTTATACTCTGCAAAATTGTTTTGACACTAAAAGGATGATAATTGTTTTGACACTAAAAGGATTTGAAAGTGTTACACGCGTTAAAATTGTTATTAAAAGAGTTATGCACAGCCTACGTGATGACATATTATAAGCGTTATAAGCGACATATATTAGCATCCGTAAAAGGTAAACACTCAAAAACATGCTATTTTTTAGAATTCATAAATGGCTATGCGTTATAAAATAATATATAAACGTTATTAGTACAATTGATAAAATTTAAATATTTATAGAAATTTACAGAAATAGCAGTTCTGTAATACAAAGTGTTCACTTTCTGTATGCATATATATAATATATTTCATAATTTTTAATTTAAATTTAAATTAGCTTTGGTAAAATCCTAGTATACGGTGCAGCCTTGGCGCGACTTTGAAAATTATCGCCAACACCAAAAATGTTCCAAAGAACGTCTATATATATATACTATACACTATATGCTATGTGTGTATATACATAGTATATATACTGTATAAATAGTATATACTATGTTTAACTATATATTTTCTTTGAATGACCCGTTAACTACTCATCGTATATGCCCGTTTTTATTGCTCAACATAAAGTCGCCAAAAGTAGCCAAATCCCGTGTGCACCGGATACTAGGATTAAACCTTAGCTTTATATAATGATTGAATATTAGTTATATATATATATATAATTTTTAATAAGAACACTTTCCATGTACCATCTCCAAAGAACAGAAATTCAATTTTAAAATCACGAATGAAAAACACTTTTAGTCAGTATTTTAATTGGTATTTTAAATTAGTATTTTCAAGACCTCTTTGCTTAAAAACATAAAAATCTGCTAAGAAAAATCTTTAATCGCAGAAATACCTAAACCAAAAGTAAAATTTTTAAGCATTGAAAAAGTAGCTATTGTCACTGATTGCAGATTAATCGACTTATCAAGAGTATAAACTAATCTACCATCAATTAACAACAACTAAACATAGTGAGAGTATTTCGTCTTTTTTTCCAAGTATTCCAAGTTTCTTCCAAGTATCAAATTATTTGCTAGATCCAAATCGTAAGTCAGAATTAATACTCAATTCAAACAAAGACATTAGTCCATTTAAGCCAAAAGAATACTGGTAAACAATATAAATAGCAAATAATCTTTAAAATTAAAGTTTCTAAGAACACAATTAAACTGAACGGGATGCTTACTTTACACTCTCATTTTCAAACTCAAAAACAAAAGTAAACATTTTAGAGCATTAAAAGGTAACTGAAAATCATAAGAAAATAAAAATGATACAGACCTTAAAAATTAAAGTTTAAAAGAAGTAGTTAATTGTAAATTTAAAGATCAAACCAGTAAGTTAAAATTAACTAACTTGCCTTCAAAATTTTAAAACCAAATGGCTGGAAATGAAGTATAAGGTGATGGAAGTAAAAGGGTTGTAGTAAAGTGAAGTTTTCTATTTAAGAAAGTTTAGCCTAACTTGGCGAGAAAACATTAAATTTTTTTGGCGATAATACATAGAGAGTAGGCTGTTACTAAAATAGCGTTAAAAGCTCCTTGCTGTTAGAAGATAAATTCAAAATAAAAGTAATTAAGAAGGACTTGAATTTATTTGTTGTTAATTGATGGTATATTTTTTATACCCTTGATGAGTCGATTAATCTGCGATCAATGGCAATAGCTGCTTTACCAATACTTAAAATTTTTATTTAATTTATAATGATACTGATTTATAATGTACTTCTCCAACTTTCCTAGTGTGCCTTCGTGGTGTAGTGGTTCTGCACGCTGGGCCGGTCTTCCAGAGTTCCGTGGTTCGATTCCCGGCGAAGTCGTTTGCTCATTTTTCATTTCTTCTGCTTCCAAAAAAATACCTAATGTCTCTACAGATTTTTGTATTTTTGCGATTAAAGATTTTTATGTTTTTAAGCAAGGAAGGTCTTGAAAATAGTAATTTAAAATACTAATTAAAATAATGATTAAAAATATTTTTCATTCGTGGTTTTAAATTGAATTTCTGTTTCTTGTAGATGGTACATCGAAAGTTTTGTTATTATAAATTATTAGTTTATTACTTTGCAGCTTTAGCGCAAGTCGTAGGCCTTCTTAATTTACTTTTAATTACTTTTATTTTGAATATATATGTATACATACACAGTATGATCAACTTCCGGTTTAAAAAGTGATACATCAAAAAGGTGGGATAAGTTATAAGGCATACACCTTACCGTTTGAGAAGCAAACTTTCAAAAACATGATACTTTTCAGGGTTTACTATATGCATCTGGGCGTTATAAGGGTTATAAAAAAGAGTTACAAGCACTATTGATACAATTTAAACACTTACAAATTTACCTTTTCGTATTAAAAATCAAAAGTATCGAGAAAAAATAAAAATTAAAACAGATATCTGGCAACAGATTACAAAAGAAATGAAATGGAATATGTATATATATAATAATCACAGAAAAATGCAAGCAAAACGATTAAATATATAAATAAATAAATTGTTAAATAGATGTCTATCCATTTTAAATCTGGGAAGCAGAAACGAAAATGTAAATTAAAACTACAGAAGTAGATGACAACAGAATGAATACCAAGTCTAGAAAGTTTAGTTAAAAACAAGGATATTGTTTAGAATTCTTTGGTCCAAAACTATTTTAATGCGACAATATCATTAAGTGCATGTTTGACAGTTTTGCATATTATATTAAACTAAAAATCATTCCTTCATTTTTATGTTATTGAAAATTTTGATTACAAATCTATTTTCAATTACAAATCAAATAATTAACTGGAAAATAATGAGATTCTAACATAATACCTAATATGATAAGAGTATATTTATACTTTTTGCTTCAATAACGTTACAGTAAATGCAACCTTTCTTGAAATACGGCTACAGCTGTAGTAAAACTAAATTATATCTGGTTTCAAAGCATCAATTTTAAAATGTTAATTAAATTTAATCAGTTGTTGAAGGTTTTTCGTAATAAAACTAGTCATCTAAATTTCAGTTTGGTTTCGTTAAATGGTACTTTATTGCTTGGGCAGAGATGTGTATTTGTTGTTTTTGTTTTAAAACAAAGAATGGTAGAAATAAACAATTAAAAAAGTAGAATGATGAATTAATTTAACAAAGTGTTCTATTTTATTGATGCGGTTCAAAAAATTCGATCAATTCAATAACTGATTTTTCGGTTCATCCACGTGCACAGGTGAGAAGGGCAGCTGTCCATCAGATTTATTTTTTAGGTTAATAACATTCTTTTGTTCGTCATATGAAACATGACACCCTGCTTCCCGTGTTCAAGTTCACGGTCACTAAGTTGACCATTCTGAAATATCGCCACATTTGAATGTATAACGGCCATTCTGTCATATATATTCCTTTAGAAATATTACGAATCAAGTTAGGATAATCATATGCATCTGCATCTTACGTATTAGAGCTTGCTACGGAAGTTATTGAATTATAAATATTTAAAAAGAGATGGTTTCAACTCAGTTGATGGTTTTTGAAACGAATTTTCATTTGAGAATGGAAATGCAAGAAATGGAAATGCAAGAAATGGAGGGGGGAGAATTCAAATTAATTCAAAACAAGAGCATGAAAAATGAAAAAATAAATATTGTAAGATACAATGCTTAACAAATTCGTTGCCAACTGTTAAATTTGTTGAAATCTAAAATAAAACAGGAAATCCTTCTTAAAAATTTCAAAACTCCATTTTCATTTGGGTGTTAATAAAAAAGGCTTAATGCTTTTCCGGAAATAAAATGGCACTGCCCCAAATTTAGGGCCACCAAT